GTATAAAGTACATGGCCGGTGAAGGAACGTGAGAGGTAGGCTATATAGTATTATTGTTAGAGGTACATGATGAACACCGGTAGAGTAGGCTATATAGGTATGTGTAAAAGTTACATGGTCTGTGCACGACCGTGAGAGTAGGCTATAGGTATGGTATGTTAGACGGGTACCTGGATGAACGACCGCTGAAAGGTAGGTTATATAGTATGTGTATTAAAGGTACATGCGGGTGGACGGCGGGAGAGAGTAGGTGGATATAGGTAGTGTATGTTAAGGTACATGATGATCGACGTGAGAGGTAGGTATATAGGTAGTATGTAGAGGACATGGTCGTGAACGACGTGAAGGTAGGTATTTAGTATGTATGTTAGTACATAGATGAACGCACATGAGAGTAGGTATATAGGATGGATGTAAAGGTACTGGGTGAAACGACGGTGAGAGCGTAAGGTATATAGGTATGTATGTAGAGGTACTGGATGAAACACAGTAAGAGGTATGGGTATATGGTATGTGTATAAAGGTACATGGCGTGAACGCGTGAGAGGTAAGGTATATAGGTATCATGCTATACTTGGCAATGTTACGCTGTGTATCATGCTATACTTGGCAATGTTACGCTGTGTGCTACTCACGTAAAGAAGGAAAACGTTTTATGAATTTGAAAACATCTTCCTGAGAAAAGCCCGAACGTAAAGAAGAGTAATAAGAAAAAGGAGGAGAAGAAGAAGAAGAAGAAGAAGAAGAAGAAGAAGAAGAAGAAGAAGAAGAAGAAGAGGAGAAGGAAGAAGAAACCAAGTACCACCGTACAGCTCACATCCTCAACTCGCACGACGTAGAAAGACGAGTTAACGAACAACGTTGAATTTCCCACAGTCTCTTCCCGCTGGAATAAATCAGGGAAGCTTCCTGCTGCGCATGCGCACGTCTGTCTCCTAGTCTCGCAGACGCACGCGCTTCCCACATCTGCCCGGCGTCATACAGCCCCGGAGCTGCGGGGAGGTGCAGACGATACGCAGCGGGGTTGAAACTAAGCTGCCATGATTCTCCCCCTCTCAAGAGGTAAGTATATAGGTATGTAGGTAGAGGTACCTGGATGAACGACCGTGTCGGCAGTGCCGCTGAACAGCCACACTCTGTCGTCCTGCATGTTAACTGTAGCATCGATCACCGTGGTGTCTTCGAAGAACGACGTGAGATGAAAGAGCCACCCCTCTACAGGTCAAATACACAACACGACGTTACTATGTTCATGCTATGTTATATATCTATATCGATATCTATCTATCTGTCTCTCTCTCTCTCTCTTTCTCTCCCTCTCACTTTCTC